TCCTCAATCCAGAATTAAACCCATCATATTAACACTTTAGTGGCAATTATGTGGTGTTGGGACAAGGTTTAAATATTGTAATATTAGATTCTGAAACATTAGAGCAAACTTAGTTGAATTCATTAATGATTGCATTTATGATATTAAAAAATAAATAAATGATTATCTGCTTATATTGAAAGGGACTAGGATGCGATTGAAAATGATATTTCTAAATTGAAAATATAATTGATGGCTTAAGGTTTCTGATGGACCGTTATTACTTCTTTATAAAGATTTTTTGCAAACCTTATCAAATTAGCTGATGGAGGGTTCAAATGGCAGAGATTCCAGCCCCCTAATAAGTAATAGGAAAATGCACTACATCAGCCTGAAGAATTCTCAGGATAAACAACATTTAAACTTGTAAATAGATATTATTAAGAAACATAAGTAAATTCTGAATAGCTTATTAAATAATTGATTGCAGAAATGATACCTGTTATTCAAGGATCATATAATTTCAGATTGAAATATTCATAAAATTTAATTTACTGAATTGAATTACCCCCATCATAATCACCACCAACTTATTATTTTGACCCAATTTACATCAATAATCAACTAAATGCATTTGATAACTTGTGATCCAGAAGGTTCAACTAAAATTATTTTAAAAATGAATGATTCAATCTAGCGCATTCTTATGAAAACTTTTAATGGCAAGAAGTTTTAGTAAGGATTATTTTATAATTTTCCAATGTCGTTTTGGGGAATATTTTAATAAATTATCCATTATCTGATTATGGCAGATTAAATAATGATGACCATAAAATTATCTCAGAGATTTTTTCCACATAGATGAATATAGGATGATATAAGAAAAGCAATTTAATTTAGTATGTAACAAAATACCCCCTTTTAATTCCCTAAGAACTGGAATTCTAAAAAGGTAAATTAAGTTTTATTCATAATTAATAGCTGACTTAATTCTCAAAGTATTAACTCATTAATCTGAGTCAATGCAAAGAAGAAATCAAGTAATCCTTTTTCTTTTATATGGAAATAATATGCGATAATTATATTCAATCTGTTTCAGTTAAAATCGTTACACTTTCTTATGAATTAATCTCGAGAATTGATCCTCAAACCATGAAATATTTATTCATAATATTGCATTTTTGTTTATTTTGACACTATAGTTAAAAGAATGTATTGATCAAACTTGTCTCTTTTTAAAAGGAATCGCTAAACAAGAAAGTCTCTATTAATCAATCCTAATCCTTTGACATTTTTTTCAATCCAAGGCTTGGGAGTTTAGAAATGGCATTAAGAACATAAAAACAATTTAAGAATTGATGTTAAAAATATCAGAGTGATACAATATTTAGAATTTATAACATCGTTTTTCATAATAAACAATAAAAAAGGCTTATTATTAATTTCATTCAAAATTTTGTTTTTATTAGAATTTCCTCTTTGAAAAGTCATATAATCCATTATTACATTCAACCCATTTGTCGGAAGATTTCCTGATAAAATTCTGATCCTAAAAAATTCATCAAAGAACCTTCTACTTCAGTTTTTATTTCTTAATAACGATAATCACAAGAAACCTGAATGCTAAAGAAGGAAGTTTGTTCTGACAATGATCTCAACACGCTGTAAGAAATATGGAGAAACCTATTTGATCCAGGTTATTGCCCCAGTTAAAAAACTATCTAAAAATATTCTTCCTCTGTTTGAATTATGACATAAGGCTCTCAAGATTTTTAGGTGTAATTAATAATACAAACATTTTGTTGCAACATTGATTGGAAGGAATAAATTTAGAATTTATTACTTTCCTAAATTGACCTGAGCTACAATAAAAGTATATTGTAGCCAAGGACTACTGCTTCGGTAAAATAATGTTTGTCGATTATTATCAAAACTTAGTTAACTAAGGATGCTGAAATATTTGAACATATTGAGCTAGTGTGAAATGATTATTTTAAGAAAAGCAGAGTTGTAATGTTACATTCGCTTTGTTATAAATGACTTACACTCTTTTCAGTAGAAACAAATTGAATTTTTGTAAAAAGATTTTTCATCATGCTAATTTCATGAGTAGAATACAAGACATTAGTAAATTGTTTTATTAATGATAAGATAGTTGCAAAGCAGATAATTGAATTGATCAAATTCAAATTGGCTCAAATCCCTTAAGGTCGA